CAAGTAAAATTATCATTAGAGAGGTTGAGGCGCACGTTTTAAACGTGTAAACGTGTACGTATGATGTTCGGCGCCGCTTTCCCGTAAGCCTAAAAGTTTGACAATGGTGTTTGGATAGTCGGTGGAATCACGCTCGACATTCCAAACACCATCGTCAAACTTTTAGGCTTACGGGAAAGCGGCGCCGAACGTCACACGTACACGTTTACACGTTTAAAACGTGCGCCTCAACCTCTCTATTATTATTTCATAATTTTTAAGTATTCAAACTTTATTTGTTGTTAATTGTGATTTTTTTTTGTAATATTTATTATTAACCTAACTCAACCTAAATCTAAACATTTATTTACAATTTAATTATTGTTATTATACTTATGTAACTCTCTTTTAGATTGCTTCTACATGTTTTATTCATATTTGCAGTAAATATTTTAATGAACCTAAAACACATTTGTTATGTCATTTCATCAAAAGAATTGCAAATATTACCTAAGATTATATTTTAAAATTTATCCACAAATACAATAATTTTTCTCCTTTACTTAATTTGGAATTGCAAATTACTAGTTAGCCTCCACTAAAAACAAATACTGACATTGTGGGGATTTTTTCACAAAAAAAAAGAAACATCAAAATGACATAAAGCCAACCCTGGCAGACAGTAACAGCACATCATTTAAACTTACACTTTGAGCACCTGGATATATCTGAATACATAAATAATATATACACCATTTAAGCAGTCACAAGCCTAAAAGGCACTTCATGGTAGGCATGCCTACAACCTAGCTGAAGACTATGTTAACAAAACCTCATCAAACTTCTGGCTGACTAGGGCTGCCTGTTTGGAGAGACAGTGGGGGTTTATGGTTGCCATTTGCCATTCAAGATCAGATCTTAAACACTAAAAAACTATAGAAAACATATTCTGAAAGATACCTCATTCACAAATGACTCTTGCAGAAAATGCCATATTCTGCCAGAAACAATATAACAAATAATCTCTGGTTGCAAGTTCTTAGCACAGACTACAGTCAGACCTCATGTTTCAAACACCTCATTTTTTGAACAATTTGGTTTACAAACAAGGTTTTGAAGTTTTTTTTATCCCAGTTGCCATATGATAACTTGGTTGCTGAACAAGCTACTTGGCAGAGCTAGCCAGCAATGGTAAACTTCCTATACTTCTTATGTTAAAGAAAGTTAATGGCCTGACCAATCAACGACAGGACTCCCAATTCAGAAGTTAGTGGTGCCGAGATCACCTTGCGTCATGATATGAATCAACTTAAATAGCAAATGCCATTGATATCTCTCCCATATGTGCATTGAAATCTACTACTACTGTTTTTCAGTACAACCACAGTTGAATCTAAATCAAATTGATAAAAACTGCATTAATTGACATTTAAGTAATATAAATGGTATCTGAGAATTTGTGTTCAAATATGATTAAGTTATTAAATAACAAAAATTTATTAATATATAATATATATATTATAAAATANCTGGCAGCCCCATTGTGGGCCTGGCCGAACCCATGCCTCCTCCATCGTTGTCCATATCACAGTAAACAAGGAAACTCCCAACTGATTCCCAGTTCAGAGGCCAAATTCTATAAATGCCAGATGCTTTATTGCCATTTTTCTGAATTTGTTGACAGTCAATTGGGCCCGGAAATGGATCGTGAATCATCAAAATATTACCTAAAACTATGAAATAAATAATTTATCAAATATTGCATCTAAAACTAATTTAATTAAGAAATATGTATACAAATACAATACCTTCATCCAGAAGAGTGTCGATGTATTTCAAAGTAGAAGCAATTTGAGAAACGATCTGAGAAAATGTACAGACAAAATGGTAGTTATCAGAAAGTAAACGCACTTCATCTCGTCTGTAATTAAAATTACCTTACGTCTGGATAAAACTTATCGTTATATAATAAGTTGTCGCCTGTCGTGTGAACAAAATTGTATATCATACGTAACTTGTAAAGTAACTTTATATTGCTTCCAAGAACTATCACGTGTTTCGATGATTTCCCCCCAGCTTCCTAGACAAGTAGTCATAGAAAATAGGTCTTTAGTAAGAGGAAGCACGACATGTTACATAATTATTTGGCAAAAATTCCGGCACTTTAGAGCACTTCACAGCACGAATAAATTCTTGCTGTGAAGTGCTCTGAAGTTATTTGAAAGTTTTGTATACTACATTTTTGTGTTAGCTGTTTAGGAGTTTCCCAGGAAAGTGCTTAGCCAGTCCTGGCTTAAGTTTAATAATTTTATATTTAATGTGGATAAATTTGAAAAAGACCATAAACAGGGAAGTACTTAAGATGCTACAGTACCTCATTGATACCAAATAAATCAGTTTTGTTACTTCAAAATAATAATAGAAAAACAAAATTGTGATGCATATCGCGTGAATAATTGGGTAAGAACCATCTTAGAATTACTTTATTTTTGAAGCACGCGCTTTGTTTTCCCCCGAATCTGGCTTGAGTAGCACCCGTTTTCGCAAAATCCCGTATACGCCAGTGTCGGTATATTTCATCTGAAATTACTGGAAATAGTTTTAAATACTTTCCTCTGCAAAAACATCTGGAGATCTTTACGAAGAATTTTTGGATTAATAGAAAGTTCGTCAACTTATTTGCTAATAAATAAACGTAAATTTTGCCATTCCGCTTGTTTACAATTTTACGTTTCATAGTTTCATAGAATAATAATTTTATATGAAAAAGTCGAAGTGGGTTGTACCGATTTCTACGAAGGAATCTGTAATTTGTGAATAATTGACGATCTTCTAATTGGCAAACAAATTATTTTAATGATATTACAGTTTTCAAACTTTATAATTGCAATTGAATGTATAAACAGAAGCTGTATGATAAATATCAATATATTACTTCTCACGAAAAAATATTTGTTAGTATAAACGTTGTAAATTATTGCCATTTCAAGGTTGATGTCAGAGAATTTATAAAATATTTATGAAGTTGGCAGACGTCCATTATTTCAAGATGATGGATTACATTTTCGATACCAAGTCATCTGGTTTTCATTCATTTAATTTGTTTTTTGAATTTATTTATTGTACGTGTACAGGACGTTGCTGATTGGTTCCGCATAGTTTTCCCGAAATTTTAAAATTTATTATTTATCACTCTAATATAGATTTCTAGTACAATAGACTCTCGTTAATTCGAACTCGATTGTGATGCCTCCTGTTTGTTCGAATCAACAGCGCGTTAGTAGATTAACGCCATCCCACTTCCGAAATTTAAAGATAGAATTTGCATAATTAATTTATTAATTTTAATGTTTTTAAATTTGATTTTTTTAATCAATTGGCACATGATTTGGATGGTTTACGGTCGCCTATGGCGCTTGCTCGTCATGGCTTTTTAATGATTTTTTCTTTATTCTAATGAATGTGCTGTGATATCTTTTGTTTTGTATTTCTCATTGATTAAACATTAACACCACGTAGCAAACAATAACGTGTTAAAATCATTTCCTTTTTATTTTTTGTTCTGTAGCATCCATAAATGATCACTATTTTTTAGTTTTCCGATTTTCTTGTTTGTTTTTTTCATTTGCAAAAGTTATTCATCAGAGTCTAGTCTATTTAATTAGAAAAGGGATAGAAAAATAACGATATGGAAACTTTTTATCATTGTTTAATACAGCAAGAATAAGATGTATTTAGCTTATTTCGATATACATTCATTGACAAAAAAAAGTTACGCACTAAGGAGTCGTCGTGGGAATCAAATGAAACTTGATTAGTACGAACGTAATGACGAATGTATGAGCGATTAGCGGCCCACCAGTGGCCAAGCGGTCTTACCGTGAACACTGGGAGTTAGGTCGTGGATTCGCGTCTCGCTCGGACGGGTTGGCCACGTGGAGTTTTCCGGGTTTTCTCCATGTCTGTAACGCCTAAATAGGGGCCAGTTTCCCTTAAAAAGACCTCCCGGAAGGCATCCTCCTAGGCAGATCGCCCAAGTGTTGCGTTGCCATAACTTAACAATGAGCGATTAGCAAAGGACAGTAAGTAATTAGTAGTCTTATGCGGAACGATACAATTCAAAGGA